GTTTGTTTTGCAGATAGGCAATATATAAATATAATGTAGTTCTATGATAAAATTTTAAAAGTTTTCTTCTAGTAAATCAACATTAATGTGTCAACCTTCGATGGGTGATATGTCCTGCAGCGGTACCAGTGATCGTATCTAACACTTAATTACTAATTAGTTACATAAAATTAAGAAGATGGATCAATAGATCCACAGGAAGTCCCCAAGGACTCTCTTGAAAATCTCCGAGAACTCCCCAGGGACTTCCTTAAGAATCCCATAGAACTCCTGTGGGAGTCTTGAGGAATCCCTCTTGAATCCCTTAAAAATCCTCCATGACTCCACAGAGGATCCTGCCGGTCTCCCGTGACAGGACTCCTGCTGACTCCTGTAGGACTTTTTTTCCAGGACTCCTACGGGAGATTAATCAGGAGTCTCGACTAGGGTTATATGTTCTTCACATTTAGTCTACTTTTGTCTGACAAAGATGTCTTTGACGTTGAAACGTAACAGGAAAGAATATTCAGAAATACCCAAATTTATACAAGAGGAAATGTATGTAAAGCAGTTAGTCGATAGAATTTTTTTCGAATGAATGACTCGAGTCAAACAGTCGAGTCAACGTCTTCCAATTTTCGAGTCCGAGACAAATCAGAGTCAATGAAAAATGCGACTCGAGTCGACTCGGACTCACCCATCACTGCTACAGGAGCTTTTTGAAATTAAGTACAAAACCCACAACATACCTATAACAAACCCTTATCCGTTTTTGCATTTACTGTTAAAGCAGTGTTTTAAAAAACGGAACGGTTTTTTGTACTATAAGTGCAAAACAGAAATGCGTCTGGTATAGTTGCAAATGCAAAATCCCTTTTTCTTTTTGTAATATTAGTTTTTTTTAAGAGCGTTGAAGTATGGTTTTAGGATATATGATCAATTTCGTGACTTTGTTAACCGTGATCTCTGCTTTTCTCATTCAAATTTCAATTTTACCGGACTTAGTCAAAGTTAGAGTTCTAAATTTGCCTGGCTTCCAAGTTTGCCTTCAACATATATAAATAACGAAAACCTACACGATAAGATGATCGAGATCGTAAGGAATCCTTTTGGCAATCAATAATGACATACTGGGTGCGATTTCAATCAATATCACAATTACCGTAAATAAAAGGTAAATACATGCATTTTAAGCTGAATTTTAAGCAAGAGTCAAATAAATGGCAAGAGATTGGTAATTGTCATGTGAAGTCTGAGTTTATATAGCACATCTTTCGCGGTTTTCGCTCTGTCGTTATTAGCGGCGATCATTTCCCGCTGTCATGGTGAATGGGAGTTTGTCTTATCATCAGTAAAAACAGAAAATGCATCTTTACGTTTTTGAAGCTTTTTACTTTTCGAATGCAAATAGCCAAAAACACCTAAACATTTTTCCAGTCTTAAAAGTAAAAAGCGTTTCCATTGTTTTTGTACAAGATCGAAAAAATATATTATTCTCAGGACATTATCAAATGAGAAAACACACGTTTAATATGATCATAATTATACCGAATTGTTGATGACTGACAAGCTAATCTGTCCATCGTATCTTTAAAACCTCCCTTTCCTAAGTTTAGGTCTCATAATTGCCACTAATGTCTAGTTTCTCAGTAAAATATTTGTTATCTATCTCAAATTGTAACAAACCTTTTTTCACAATAAAACGTGTTACAAATACTCAAATGAGAGAAGTATGTTTAAATCTGAATTTACGTGTATTTTACTTAATAAGCAGAAGTCTAACTAAATAAAGCAAAAAATTATATAACGAAGCAAACGTATTGTTTCGATAATAGAATAAAATTATGGTTATGAACTTCATGGTCATGAATTAAGCATGCGGCTGAAATAAAAAAACAAAAAAGATTTTATTTAATTGATTGACATTAAGGGCTATCACTGAAGATAATACGTACAACATAATTGATAATAATATGGATCTCGCCGTGACTTCCTAAACCAAGATGAGCAGGCAATTTAACCCACTGATCAAAATGACCTGTAGCAAACACATCTTTTAAGTTCACTTTTGCCGATCCAATGGAATCCTTTCCAATAATATCTTCATCATAAACTTTTAACTTCAGATGATCCTGGCCTTTCAGAAGATTGCTAAAGGAGAAAGTAACGTTTGTATAAAAATGACAATGTTTTTGGTATCGTTAAGAGAAATGTTATGTAGATGAGAAGCTGCTATAAAACTGAAAAAGAGGAAGAATAGAAAAGCGGCGATTGATTGATTGTATGACATGAAAAATATTTAAGTGTAACTGTGAGTACTTACAAATGAAATGTTTCATTCCATACGGGAGAATTGGTGTCTTGTTTAGTAGAAGTTCGTTGTTTATAGTCTTTATCGAGATATAATTCGATATAAGCATCATTTTGACCAAACGTATCTTTATCTTTTAAATTTCTACCTTCGACTATTATAACTTGGAGTTGGCCGTGCGTCATTATTTTAAGAGTGAAAAAAAAAACTTTTGTTTTGAATGAAAATGTTCTTTTACTTGTGTACAATAGAACGTTTTATATAAGAATGCGTCTACAAATACATAGATGCACCGAAAACAAAAATTATTATCTATAAAGAAAGAAAATGATAGATATGTTTAGTTGCATCTAGTACAGCAAAAAGATTAAAAATAGAACTGATAAAGTGATTTGATAAGAGAGCATTATTCATTTTGACATAAGAATCCGAAGACGTTTTTTAAATTAACGACTGAATCGGGTAACTCTGCTACAGGAATATGAATGCATTACAGTTTTTACTCTTTTCGTTTATGTTACGATATTTGAAAGGAACATTGTAGAAATTTGAGAGACGTCTTGTTTTGTAGCTATAAGTGTCATTTTAAAATATTCTTGGGTCCTTCCACGTAGGTCCGCCCACTATTACATTCACTATTAGTCGCGAAAATTTCACTTTGTCCATCGTGTAGAGCATCAAAAATAACCTAAAGATCTCGCTTATGCTTTTTTGAAAAAACGTGTGGCAAGTGGTTTTCTAGACACCTCAAGTTTTTGGTGAGGGTGAAATCGAAGTCGGTGAAAATGAACGAAACATTGCAAGAATAATTATACATCAAATTGTAGCTCTTGACGAGTTGATTCTAAGGGTGAAGGAATTCGGTCTCGATCTAACTTGACGTTCGAGTGGTACTCAATTTACTTGAAAAATTCCTGAAGTCTGACCTCGATTTTCCCCTAAACGCTCAGAAAATTTTTCGAGATTTTTTGTCAAGAAGGGTGACAGACATTATAGACCATAAAACCGTTAACCTGTAGTGAAGGGAAAGAAAGACGAATGAAAATGATATGCTACAGCGAAAACGATATCTGTTTTTTCTATTACTTTATCCATTATGCCAGTTCGACTAACTATATTATCGATCCAGAGTGTAACTTTTCTACAAGTACAGCCCTATTCTCAGTAAGGAGTCGCACTTTACACCTCCTGAATCAAATTTTATTTTATTTTTCTTTCATAAACCGTCTTCGAATATAATTAACGAAACTGTCCATGTACTAAAAATCGCATAAAAATCGGCAATTAATCGTGAAAAATCATACGATTAATCGAGCGCTTAATCGCGATTAATTGCCGATTTTTTGGTGATTTTTAGGCAATTTTAGTGATTAATCGCAATTAATTGACGATTTTTTTCTAGGTACTAGGTTCGAACCCATCTTAGGAAATACATATTTTTTTCTGTTTTTTCATTGTTTATTATGTATAATGACATGTGCGTTACACAGCAATGGTCTTAGCACCAGCTGGCGTCGGAGTCTTGCCGACGAGTCAGCTTTAAACATTGCCCACATACCAGCTGTTCACTGGGCTTCTCGGTTTAAAGCTCTGAGGTACAATAGAGAAGACTCTTGACAACTCCGTTGTATTCTGAAATAAAAAGATGATCTGAATATAAGTGTATTTTTCGCTGAAATCGTGTTTCTTATATACAAACTTTATTGCAAAAGAAAGCGGTGAATAACAACAACCATTTAATCACTTAAAATCAACAATTAATCGCAATTAATTGATGATTTTCGTGATTAATCGCGATGGTTGACAAAGTCATCGATTAATCGCGATGCACGAAAAAACTACCACTTAATCGCGATTAAATGACCATTTTTTCCCGAATAAGATTGAGCGTCGATTTTTTCAACCATCGCGATTAATCGACAAAAATGAAGCGATTTTCAGCACATGGGTGGTCGCATTGGACCGTTTCACATATAACTTTATGAAAATCTCGTCTAAAAATTTTCAAGCTATTTTCGATTAATGGAATTTGAATAAATATTCCCTTCTTGCTCTCATCTTCAGCACTATCAACGTCATTATTCGAATTATATCATTTTTCTAACGTGATTTCAATTGACTGATGAACAAACAACCTTAGATAACCATTTTTATCCGCTTTGTTTCGGACCTTGCCTAACTCATCATCATGCAATTGATACGAGGAGAAAATCATGATAAATCAATGAATCATATTTATTATAACTGATCGTTTCTGTGACATCTTGCGCCAAAATTCCAAGTTAGTTTCTTATATAAATCATCTTGTAGAGACTTCTCAAGGTATATACCTATACCAGCATTATACTTGCTAATGGTCCACCGATGCTCACACAGAGCTTCGTTGAATAGCTTTTTAACATCAAGTGATAACATTTTCAAATTCATGTGCCATTTTTAAAAAATTTTAATTATATTAACAAAATAGAAGGAGTATTTCACAATACTCAGATCAGACTCACCCTCAAATGAGCCAATCGTTACATACATAAATATTGCAATTTCTTAACAATAGGTAAAATAAATAAAAAATAAAATAGATAAAACTCAAAGATATACATATATATTTGCCACTATTCATATTGCAGACTATTCATATTGCAGCTCTTATTTACATCAACATAGATTTTAGTCATTTATAAAGAGAAAAAAAAGGGAGAAAAAAAAACTAGTGAAATTCTTGGTAGTATTGATTTTATTTTGGTAAACGTCGTAAAGATGATGATGAAGATGAACTAGCTGTGGATGAACCTCTCGATGTTTGTCTCGTGTGTCCATTAGTTGATGGACGAATGTCACCTAAAAATAACCACGGTAATATTAAACGTTTAACATTCAGAAGTCACAAATAGTTAATATGTAATGTTTACCTAAATCAAGATGAACTTCTCTAACAGGCATTGATGGTCTTGTTGAACGTTGTTGTGATGTTGAACTACGTGTTGAACTCGTTCTTGAAGAAGAAGACGGTGTAACCATACCACTTGACGGGCCAACAAGGTCAAACTAAAATAGTATGATAATCGTACATTTTATCATTGCCGAATCAGTAGAGATATTCTTGTTAGACGAACCTGTTGTTTAAGCATATTATAATGATTTAATGCATCTTGATCCACAGATACAATTTGTTCTATTTGAGCTGATATTTTATTTTTATAATCTTGTAATAAACGTACTTCGATATCATGTTCTTCATTTAACATGTTGGTTGTACGTTTAATACTACGTACTTCTTTTTTTCGACGTCCAATCTAAAAACATTTGTTAGATTACATCCCTAGTGAATGTAACTGCATGCTGGTAGTTGGTCAAGTACCCTCGCAAGTTTTGTCAAATGTTTGTCGTAAAGTTTATCTAATGACTACTTACGATTTTTCGCAAGTAAATAAAGTACTTGTCAAGAAAATCAAGTAATTGAATTACTTTATCTTTTTATAAAGTCCTGAGCGAAGCACTTGCCTAAGTAATCTCCAAGTACTTGTGTGAGGTTCAACAAGTAAATCAGGTACTTGGCAAATGCTTTCAAGCATTTATCACGTAGTATTTTTTGAACATACTTGTCAAGTGTTTGCAAAGTACCCGTGAAAATTTGCACGTAAACAAGTACCCACTCGCAAGTACATTTACTAGGGATAACATATAATTAGTTTATTTTATTTTACTGACCTGACTTTCTGTTCGATTTATTTTATCTCTAAAATCATCTACATCTAACTGTAATTGATTGTATTGTTTACGTTTTTCAAAGATAATTTCATTCAAATTATTTTTTTCATTTGATTTCTCATTTATTATCGGTTCCACGGCCTATGACAATGAAATATACAATATAACAAACTGTATTGAATGGTAGACCATAGAAATCGTCATACGGTTAAATCACTTTGTAAGACTTTCAATGTTTTTCGTTTGATTCCAACTTTATCTCTCATATCCCTTAACTGTTCATCTAATTCTTCTAATTGTTTTAATTCCTCACCTAAATATCATTAAAAAGAAATCATTCAATCCGTCAAACTATACAAATAATTGATATTTTACTTGAATCGGTTAATTTTTTAAATGAATCTTTTGTCATACTATTTCCCGTATTCAAAATTTTCAATGTATTTTCTGATGCGCGTAATTCTTGTTCCGCTTTTCGAATTTTTACATCTAATTCATCACCTTCACGTTGTAATTCTTCTTTTTCTTGTGCAGCCTAGAATATAAACAAAAAATTCAATTTCAAAATGTGATTTTATACTTTAATATTATACCTTAATAACATAATATGTTTGAGATGTTTCTTCTTCTGTAGTACCTTCAGGTGGTGCCATTGAAATATTAACAATTTGATATCTGAAAAATAATTAAAATAATTAGAATATTAAATGAATAAAATAATTTAATATACCGTTTTTTTAATTTTTCTATTTTGGCTATTCGATCATGTAATTCACTAGACACTTCACTTGTTTTTGTTTGTTCATCAAGTAATTGTTGTCGAAGTGTTGATTGATGAATATTTATTTCACTACGATGTTCTTTAATTGCCTATTAAAATAAGATTAATGTTTTTTAAACAATTTTTTGAGAAATAATTTACAAGTGTACAATAGAAGATATCTTAAAAATTTTAATTTTGTCATAAATATCATTCGTATAATTCTTACTGTTTGTAATTGTAATTTTCTTGTTTCTAAATTTGTTACTGTATCTGAATGTGTATACAATGATGTTCTCAAACGTTTTATTTCTATTTTCATTAAATTTTGTTCAACTAATAAATCCTTTAAACAAGAAAATGTGATTAATAAATATAAATATTATCATCAATACGATTACAAACTTCTTTTTGTTCAGTTAATTTTTGAATTTGTCGTTCTGCATTATTTGAATATAAATCTAATTCTTCTATTTTTGTTACTTGCTTCTCTTTTTCTCTTGATGTATCATCAATTGAACGTTTTAAACGTCTTGTTTCTTCTTGTATCTGTTTTATTTGACTTGTTAATATAACATGATCATCACGTTTTTGTTGTAGTTGTATTTGTAAATCATTTATTTTACGCTCTAATTCACCTTGTTCATCAATATTCTTTTCACCTTGCATACGATTAACACGACGTTCTAACGATTGTATTTCAAAATCCTATGTAGAAAAACAAAAAAAAAAAAGTTATCAATAATAAATAACTTTTTATTCAATATTTGATTTACCTGATGATAGAGTAGTTCTTGTTGTTTTAATGCATCATTATCTAATTTTTCAGTTTTATTTTGTAAATTATTTAATGTTACAATTGAACCATTTATTTCTGCATCTAAATTTTTTACTTTTGTTTTATAATCAAATATTTGTTGAGTGATTTTATATATTTTTTCTGATAAAAATTTTAAATCATTATTCAATTGATTTTCACGTTCTTGTTCATCAGCATATAAATTTTCCATTTTTGTTGCTTTTTCTTCAGCCGTATATTTAACGTCTAATACGTCATGTTTTTTATCAATTAATTCACGATTTCGAACGCGTAGATCATCCAATCTAAAGGAAATAATTTAATTACTTTTTAAAATATTAAAAAATATAAATACTCCCTCTTTCATTGACAAGTGACTGTATCTACCTACTGTTGTCGTTTATCAATCAATTGTTTTTTCATTTGTCCAAGTAATGCATAGGACATGTCTTTATCCTTTTCTGTTCGTTTAACAACACGTCTTAATCCGGATAACTGAAATTAGAGAACATAATATTTCATTATTATTATTGTATCATATTAGTTTATTAATCAAAATAAACCTCATTTTCATATAATAAACGATTTTTTTCTGCATCATCATATTGTAAACGTAATTTTGCTGCTTGTCTTTCAGCTACAGACATTTGTAATTGTCGTTCATTATTATTACGTTGTTCATTCTTATAAAACTCTTTTTTCTCGATAATTAATTCTTCAACAGAACGTGCTTCTGCTTTTATTTTAACCAATTGCTAAATAAAAATAAATAAAATTAGATTGAAAATTGAATTTATAAATCAACAAAATAAAATACAAACAACGGCTAATAAATCAATATCACGATCTCTTGATTGCATTTGTTCAATCATTTGTTCCGAACGTTGAATTAAATCTTGACGATGTTGATGAGACTTGCGAAAGTCACTTGCAGTTTTATCTAATTCTACCTAGAAACAAAATAGGTTAATTTGACAGGTTTGATAATAAAAAATACTTTTCTCACTTGTAAGCCCGTTGTATCCATTATTTCATTTTCAATCGCTCGTTTTTTTTTACTACTTTCATCTGTCATACGTTCTATTTTAATTATAAGCTCCTAAACATATTCAATACTTATGTTTAGAAATATATCAGGAGTGAGAAGAATGCGTACCTTCACTTTTGCTTCATCTTGTCTGGTATATGTCATTAGTGCCATAAAATCTTCATCTTTTTGTGTTGATTCTTCAAGCCATGCTTCTAACGCTTGTTGATCCCATTTCATTTGCGATTCCATTTCATCAAACTGCCGATTACCGCGATAAACTTCATCCTTCATAGAGGAAAGAACGATAAGTTTTCAACGGTGGATTTAAAGACGATATAAAGAGTCGTATCCGTTTTCGTCAGCACAAGATATTTCGTTTCATGTTTGCTAAGCGAACAGACATCATCGAAAATTTTTTACCTACACAGATCGAATTAGGCATACAACAATCCGGTAGTTCGATCACCGAACGGTTTGTTATCGAACATGTTCGGTGCCGATCAGCGAGCCCTGGCTTAGGATTGTTGCATGCCTAGATCGAATCATACGATCTGAAACAACAATTTACGATTGTAAATGGTTGTGTCTTCTTTACGATAACGTATTACATCTACATATATACGGCAGTTACAATTAAATACCGTTGTTTACAAACTCATTACAGCCGTAAATCGATCGTAAGTATACGATGGTCATTTTCGTTATTTTGAGTAGATTCATTACTGAAAGTTTTTCTGCTCTGAAGATGCAAAATAATTCTTTGAGATAGCAAAATTAAAAAAACCATGTAGCATGAGCGCAATATTCATTTTTGACACTCACACACGCGATCACTCAGATCTAGAATAATTAGTTTTTAGCTACACAAATTTGCGAAAAAAATTTAATTGGTCTTACCGTCAGTGCGCTTTTTCGATCTATCATTTTCATCAATTCATTTTCGAGACGAATCCGTTGTTGTTTTATAAGTCCCATTTCTCTTTCGTTCACCATTTTCAAATGTTCTTCAGTTGTGGCTTCATTTTTTCTTGCATTGAGTAAACGCTACAAACGATTTATTAAATGACATTCAACAAATAGAAAGTCTCAGGCATATTACCTGTGTTGTTTCCAACTCGTCTTGTACATTTTTTAAATGATCTTCTAACATATGCACTCTTAGAGTATTTTCTTCCAGATCATTTTGTACAGTTTGATGTCGACGTTGTTTTTCTTCAATCTAGACTTATGTAAAAGTTGATGATTTTCATACAGTTCAAATTTAGATTACCTTTGTTTCCAGATTTCTATTTTCAGCATTTGGAATACGTGGGAGTAATGTTGTGCTAATATTGCTAAACTGTTGAAGTTCCATACCGTTGCTCATGTTTGAAGCTAAAATGAACAAGATTAATGTCGTAACTTTAATCTGAGTGTAAGATCACTGAAGCTACTGTCTTTTAAATTGATAAAGTACAGCAGTGTTTCTAATCAGATACAACGTGACTAGGATGCTGCGAAAAAATAAAGTACACACTGTTCACCGTATTTTCCCTCAACTATAGCATAGATAGCTTTTCTGTTCTGTGATGTAGTCTCTCTCTGAAAACACGTGTTGCTACTCAGGTTCCATCTTCTCGATACTATTTGTATCACTCTCTGTCTATATCACATGTTTCTCTATCTATAGCATCTCTCTATAACTCATCACAGAGTTTAAAGGTTTGGTCATCGATCAAAGATATAAGTTGTAAGGGTTGAGCAGTAGACAAGAGGTAGAAAACGCTATAGCAGTGCATAGGATGGGAATAGGAACTTGGCATGCACTTTTTGTTTTTGTCCTTTTTCCTGAAATGAAGATTTTTACATTTTCTCATAAAAAATTTCGGCTGAATGACCTGTCAAAACAATACCTTTGCAACTTTTATAAAACAGCGCACTGTTGTGAGAACTAAATTAGACATTTGTCCTGGATGTGAGCGCTAACAGAAAAACATTAGCTTGTCGCAAGTATTGTTGAAAGGGAGTGTGAAAAATAGTGAAATACTAAATTTTCAAGAAGCCAACTCAATCAGAAAATCTTAACTATTAAGTACTGTCGTAGGCGGAAAAGTTTCGAATTAAGTTTTATCCTGTCATACATAACTCTTGAAATTTATGACGACTGATCAAAAACGCGCATCCACAAAAGCCAATATCGATTCAAATTGGGAGTTAAATGGTGTTCTGTACTTCTTTTGTGTTTCTTAAGTAAAACCGCCATAAAACGCTAGAAAAGTTTTTTTGATACCCCTTGCATCTGATGAAAAATGAACTAATATAATACGATGAAAAATGCGTTTCCGCTTTTTTTTCCGCTATTCTGACCTAAGCACCTGGCAACTCTGAACGTAACCAATTTTCTGTACTCTATCTGTTGGACTAATAAACTAACGTTGGATTTTGTCCAATCTATTAAAAATCCTCAAAGCTTGGTCAGTTTTTTGGTCAATCTTGACCGAAGTTTTTCTAACTTTTTCGTCAAGCCTGATCAAGCTTCATCATCATCTCGAGTTGCCTGTAAGACACAATTAGAGCGTCTCGATCGCCGTAGGAAAATAGCCAGATTGAAATACTTTTGGAAAGTTATGAAAGAAGGGACGGCTCTTGCACGATTTGGTCTACTCCAACCGATGACCGATCGACGTACACTGCAAAAAGGAAATTTTCTTTCACTGTTTTTAGTACCCGAATGTAAAAAGGAAACGTTTTTAGTTAGAACAGTAAAGGAGTGGAACGGTCTTTCTAATTCTGTAGTTTTATCACCCACAGTAAAAAGTTTTGCCGTTAACTTAGAACAACACTTATAGTATCGACTGCTTATGTATGTATTTGCTGTCTTATTTTTCATCCTTTATTTGTATACATACTGTATACATAAATTCATATAGGTTGGACACCTTTACAAGAGATGTGTTAATTTACGTCGCTTTTGTCGCAATGCTTGTTAAGTTTGTTTTCTCTTTTCTATCTGCATGTGAACTCAGCTTTACTAAGTAAATAAAAAAATAAGCTTTGAGGATTTTTAATAGATTGAACAAAATCCAATATAAGTTTCAGGTAGAGTAGAGAAAACTGGTTACGTCTATTACAAAGCTTGGTAGTTTTCATATCCGGGGTCTACATCTTTAGCATACCCTAGTGGAACTTCTTGTGAACAAGATATTGACTTCTTGAATTTTTTCAGATCTTGGTAAGAAAATATAGAAATTCAAGAAATTTCAAGAAGTCAAGATCTTGAACATGTAATTTTTTGACTTCTTATACAAAGATCTTGGAAATTCTTAAATCATCGTTTTGTTTTATACTCTTGTGTAAATATAAGTGCGAATATTTTCACACTTAGAATAACTTTGAATTTTCTGCCTTCTGACCATGGTTGTTTTAGGAAGAATCTACGACTCTATATGGTCATATATGCGATGGCTATGACTGTCATAAATAAAAACAAAATGTAAAGAAAATTTTTCACTCAAGCTCTCGCAACATCTTGAGTGAATTCACTCAAGATCTCAAAATTTGTTCCCAAGATCTTGAAACATCCTGGTTTACTCCACACAAGATTTTGAAATTCTGTTGTCAAGATCTTGGCAAAGATATTTCAAGATCTTGAGTGTAAGACTCAAGAATCCAAGATCTTGACTTTTGGGTGTTTTTCCCAAGATCTTGTGACACTTCTTAACCCAAGACCGTTGTGTTATGAGTACTTATCATGAGAACAGGAGGGTGTTTCATAAAAATTCTTAAGTGCTCGACTTAACTAAGTCTAGATTTAAGTCAGACTCAGACTTAAGGATATACGATTAACACGTAAGTGCCCAAATTTCCTGATTTTTAGGCTTTTCTCCTGATTTCAGGATCTGATTTTTAAGATTTTCTCCTCATTTTCAATTGTTTTCCTGCATCGATTTTAGCGACATTTTGAACTAATAAAACGCGAAAGCAGAAAAAGAGAATTGTCGTGTAGTACTCTCTGAAAAAAAGGGTACAGACTGAGCCTTCATGGGTTCTGTCTTTTAGCTGTAACCTTTTCATAGTTTGATCGAAGTGTGACAGAACGTTGGAGGTCCTATCAAGGTGACTGTTCCATTTTGAGTGGAAATGGTTCGATATTTGAGAAAAAAAAGATCCGTCGATTTAAAATGGTTCGATGTTGCACCATGTTGTTTTAACAGAACCATTTCGCGATGTGATTTTTTGTTCTAACATGTACAAGCAAAAATATTTAAATGAAGACGCAGATCCTACATATACATGACGTAAGTTCATGGCTGATTGTTATGTTATATATCCATGTAGCAAAGGTTAGAAGACTAGATGTATAGATTAGTACAGCAGATAGTACCGAGCTATTAGCTCGCGGGGCGTACATATCAGGTTAAAAATTTAATAAAGTCTAGAGCTGAACGTCTCCAACCTGTGATTTTGTTTCGGTCGTGAGCTGGATTGGTTTTGTGAACAACACTCTACACCTCAAACGTATCGTATGTGATATTTATAAAAAGAAAATTTTAATGCCATCAACTCCAGATGGTTTCATTGCATATTATTCGTCTTGGGTGAGAAACTAGATAAAAATGAAGAGAATGAACTTATAATTAATTGGTTATTATTGAACTTTCTTTCTGCGCTTTGTTTTTTAGTAACTGAGTTAATTACTTATATGCATTTGATGACAAGAAAAAATTCCAGTCTTGGATGTATTGTCTTATGACATTAGTGATAGCTGTGGATTTTTGATGGGATTAGGAATAAGTTTCACCATTTGATTGTTATGAAGATTATAATCTCTAGCCACATCATCTGTTTGCAAGGTCTTACATAAATCTTACCTGTTGTGCGTAGATAAAGCAACTAGCTGACGGCTTAACGTTTACACTCGGTCAAATGCACTGCGTATTTTTATAAATACTGAACCTTATTTTAGCAGACGGAACGTAGTATCCGAAGAAATATGATAGTTCCGTACCGAACCTTTTTGAGGAATCAGCGTAAGACCCAAGGAAAGAATCCTTAAAAGGTTCTGTCTGTACCCTTTTTTTTAGAAAGTACAGTCATATTGCACAAAAAGCCATGAACGGTGTAGCAAACAGTTTGTTCTCTATATTCGGTTTGGTTTTTTTTCTGTTCTTGTCGGTTTCTTAAGAAATATTTGTGTCTGTTTTGTTTATACTGTAAAATGAACAGCTGGGCACATACCAGTAGAATAAACTACATGTGATTATCTTTCTCTCTTTTTCTTTGTTTCGCTTATAAGACAGACCTTCTCATTACTTGCTTGGTAGAAAAAAGTCACAAGCGTTTGTGAGAATGAAAATTTTCCTTGTCCAAGAAAAAACTGCCTGATACTCTGCTTCATTAGGTCGCCAAAGACTAACTAACGCCATTTTGACCTTGGCGATCTGGGATGAGCTGCTTTTCTCCGGATTTCGAAAAAAATCTCCTGATTTTCCTCGTGATTTTTTATGAAAAACTCCTGATTTTTTTTACTTACATTTTTATAGGCTTCGTGACTTTGTAGAGGAGAACTAAGTTTTGAATAATGATTTCAATAAAAATATGTTGAATTTTGTGAAAACTAGCGATGAAAACAAACCTTAAATGCTTCACTTTGACTAGTTCTATCTATAGCGAAAGATAAGAGAAGCCACTATTGTTCTGGTAGCTAAAGAATGCCCTCTATCTGCAAAATATTTTCGCCTTAGTAACAATGTCTCCATCTATCTTGCCAATCATATTCTTTGGATAAAATGTGGCTTGTATATGTGTGCTTCTTGTCTTGTTCTTTACCTACATGTGAACAATTATTCGGTTCGGGCACGCTAGATGGAAACATTTCTAAGGTTCCAGTTGTACTCTTAACACATCATAGCATTACAGATCGGAGACCTTTTGTGATCTGCCGCAGCTCATGGATAGTATTCTGATCGAAAAGTAATCAGACATAGTTCTGATTTAGTTTCTTTCTTTTGCTTTGGATTTTCTATCTAATGATAAAGCAAAATAAGGCAATAAAAAGATGATCAACAGAAATTTCTAGTTTTACTGTCAACGCCTTTCTCTTCTAGCTTACCCTGACCTATTTATTCATAAAAACGTTCTTTGTTTAAGACGGGGTAGAAACAGTGAATGTCAAAAACAGCCGAATTTCATCGTTTTGTTGATTATAATGACTTAGAATCGTTATTAGAATGTTCCCTATGTTTGGATCGTTTTCAAGAGCCACGGTAAGCTGAGCTGATATGGTAGCGTGAACGCGATTTAACTGATGTTCTTCATTTTTTAGTTTGATTCCTTGTCAACACACTTATTGCACAAAATGCATTCAAGAATTATGTGAAGGAAGTGACACAATCATCTGCCCTCAAGTGAGTACTTATTTATTATTTACTTTTTTTTTCTCTCTTATTATTCTTATTATTCTATTTTAATTTGTTTTACCTCGTTTATTTATCTACTTATCTCTGCTCATCTCTCTAATTATGTTCTGTCTAGTTTTGATTAATCTTTTTGTTGTTTGGTTGAAGTTATGGTTGTTTAGGTCCGAGACCATTGATGATTCTCACTTTTCGTGAATAAATTAGTTTTAATCTTAGCATCGTTAGTGAGATGAAATAGACTGCTTAGTAGAGCCCTATGAGATCGAAACTGGAGGAACGAATTTTACGGGACGCGATTGGAATTTAAGTTGCTAAACGGGATCGGGATATTTCTTTTTCCAATTTATTGGAGCTCTTTCATTATCAGAAAAATAAAAAATAATAAAAATTTTCAGGATTTAATGGGATGAGAGAAAAGATTTTTTCGAGATCGGGATAGTAGCGGTGTAGATATATCTTGTCTTAGTATTATCTTTTTTTCCAAATTTTTAGTGTCGTGCACAACATCCTATTCAACAAAAACAAGATGGTGTATTACAATTTCCAAGAAATATTACCTATCAACAATTACTTGATATTAAAACAGAACAATTAGTCAGTACTCGACAGTGTCAAGTAGGTTGACGTCTTTATTTCATATAATGTTCAAAATGAGACGAACTAGAGACCGAAGTAGTTGCTTAGTTAGATCAGTGTATGGATGGTGTCAGTTCATTTTCTTTGTTAAGGTCTGTGACAAGAAACGTGCGTTCAGTGATTGTCTCCATTGTAAAAAAGCTGTTTGCCTCGATTGTAAAAAATTACATCGTAGAGAATTATCAGATGTTACAGATTTATTAATCAATGATTTAACTAAATCCAGTACTTTATGTAAAGGTTAGGAACACATTTTTTTTTGTAAAACTTTAATACTCTTCTTTCTAGTTTACTGAAATCGGATTTGCCCATTGCATCTAAACAGGAACATATTTTCTCTCTTATTCACAATTTATTAAAGAGAATTGTTTTGGTTTCTTATTCTAGAATCTTTAACAAATGAAATTACAACATTTTTAACAAATTGTGATTATATTAAAAAGCAGATTAGCTCTTACACAAAAGATTTAATTCAAACACTAAAACAGCAAGAAATAAACATGAAAAGTGATTTAGATAAATTAATTATAAAACAAATAGAGTAAGAAAAAAAAGTTACATTGTTTTGAACTAAAGTGTCTCATTTTCGCTCCATGATAGGATGTCAAAAAAAATCATGACACAATTTGAACAACACAAGGATGATATTGATGTATTCGTCCGAAACACAAAGCAAAAAATTCAAAAGTATGTAATATAAAGAATGTCAAATGATTACTGACTTTTTTTATTTTCTAGAACAGACAATGTACTGGATGAAAAATTTATCGAAATACAAACATTATCTAGTAAATATTTGTCGTCATTACAAAACATGATATTGGAACATAAAAATTCAAGAAAAGATGTACGTATAAAAACACTTTTAGAACAACTACTATGTTAAGTTATTGAACTATCGTTTTGTATTAGAAAGTTATCTTGCACTGTAAGTATCAATGTCAGAAAATAGAGTATTTCAGAATACCGTCAACTTGTTTCATAAATGAGAAAAAGACTGAATCAACTCTTCGAGATTTGTGCTAAACAACGCGATGTTTTTTTTAAGATTATTTTCACACCAAATATCACTCTAAAAAATATTTATTGTAACAATAGTCTTGGTGAATTACGTTTGTCATCATCGTTTATTGATAATGAAAAGTCACATCATTTACCATTGACTCCTCCGCCAGAAGACATGGATAATCAATATTTTCCGCAATCAGTAGATCATCAAAGCGACGATGATAATCGTTTACAACAGATACAACAAATTGGTCATTGGGGGAGTGGTGAAAGAGAATTTTGGTGTCCAACGGGAATATGTATAAGTCATAATAATTACATACTAATTGTTGATAGTTGGAATCATCGACTTCAAATGTTAACAATCGATGGTCAATTTATACGTTCAACAAGAAATATTAAAGGAAGAGGTATAAATGAATTGAATAATCCACGCGATGTATGTATAAGTCCAATGGGAAATGAAATTATTCTATCCGATTCTGGTAATCATCGATTAGTTGTTTATAATGAATATTTAGAAGTTAAAAGATTAATTTGTGATAAATTAAATTTACAATTTCCAAATGGTGTTTGTTCTGATGAACAGGATTCTCTCTTTATTTGTGATCGTGGTAATAATCGAATTGTTGTAGTGACATTACCAGATGGTGCATATATTCGACAATGGGGTAGAAAAGGACAAAATCAAAGTGAATTTGATTGTCCAGATTTTATCTGTTATCGACAAAATATTCTTGCTGTATCTGACTTTAATAATCATCGAGTACAAGTATTTGATAAATATGGACAATTTTTGTTTATGTTTGGACAGTATGGTTGTGAAAATGGACAGTTTCGATATCCACGGTAAGAAATTTTTTTTCTTCTTCTGTTCATTCTTAAACTTATCATACTTCTGTTTACATTTAGAGGTTTGGCTATTGATGATGAAGGATTTTTTATGGTAAGTACACGATCAAACTTTTATAACTTTTATTGTTCATTTCAAAGAGAGGTTGAAATACTTAAACTACATTTACTAGGTTGAGCAAAAAGTTCGCAGTTATTTGCAAAAAATTATAAATTGGTTTGGATTTGTTTCCGAGACTCGATGCTTTTTTTAAAAGATGCACGGCGAAATACTCTACAAAATCATACCTAAACTATAATTTCAGAACTTCAATGAAGAAAACTAAGCCAAATAGACGAAAGTGGAAAAAAATGTAAACTTCCTAAAATCAAAAATGATTTCTTGTGTTGATGTTTTGAAAGTAAGAAAAACTGAATTAGCCGTTTTGTAACCCTGATTTAGCTCTATTTTTTAGCTACACTTCAAATTTTTTCACATCAAAAGCCACAGCGAAATAATCGTTTTTCTGTCGGTTGTCATGCATTTTTTAAATTTTGGGTATAGTAGTGCTTTCGGTAAAAGTCCCATAACTCGATCAAAATAAAAGCTTTTTCGGTCGGGTTTGCTTTGTTTTGATCAGAAATGATTGCTCTTCTCTATCTAACTGCAAAATCAATCTTCGATCATCTTTTTCGTTTCTTGATTGAGCACATTGTTGGAGACGGTGAGGCTGTCAACTTTTGATGTATTTTTGTGACTTCGTTGTCGAGCACATCATCTGCTCTAAAAATGTTTTTTTATAGACCACGAGAAGAGCATATTTGAAAGTACCAAACATAAACTGAGTTCTCTCTTTTGCTACACTTTTTAGCGGAAATAATAGCAGAAGAAAAACTTCAAGTCGAAAAAAGTTTTGAGTTTAGGAAGTTTACATTTTTTTCCACTTTCGTCTATTTGGCTTAGTTTTCTTCATTGAAGTTCTGAAATTATAGTTTAGGTATGATTTTGTAGAGTATTTCGCCATGCATCTTTTAAAAAAAGCATCGAGTCTCGGAAACAAATCCAAACTAAGTTATAATTTTTTGCAAATAACCGCGAACTTTTTGCTCAACCTAGTATATATCAGAGTTTAATAGATGAGAAATGAGGGTCAGATGTATGTATTGTGTCCAGAACAGATTTTGAGTGAAATGTTCTATTTATTCAAGGTTGCTGATTGGGTAAATAACCGTTTACAACTTTTTACACCAAATGGGCAATTATCGGCAATTGTGGGAGGAAATTCTCAAGAAAAATGTTCCACTTTGGTAAACACCACCGATGATTTTCATATTCCCAAAGTCGAATTTGATCGTCCAATTGGTGTTGCTGTAAATAAACAAGGAGTTGTGTTTGTGACCGAATGGGGTCGATCTCATAGATTAGTCATTTATTAATAACTTTTATTTTAAAGTAGTTTTGTAATGTTTTTTTGCTTTTTGAACTCTTTTAGTCTTTATAGCATACTTTACATTGTCAAATTCAAAAATGCTGCCATGAAGTAATTAGATTTTTGGAATAGACCGTCCACTTTTTGATGTCTCTTTTTGTTATACATTCAACTTTCAATTTGTGCATGCAGTTTTCTTTCATTACCATTGTATAGAAGTACTATGTTTTTTTGTCTATCACACAAGCCTTAAATTTTAGAACATGGTAATAAAATGAAAAAGAAAAAGATACAGGTGCCTGTGATAAAAAACTAGTTTATTATGGAATAAAACTATTTATTTATTTGTATGAACGAGGTGTTTAGTACAAGATGTTAATTATTATCATTCACTCGTACAACGAATATTATTCGCTATAATTTCTAAGAAATTGATTACAATATTTCAGCATATATGACTACGATGTTAGTTGTAATCGGTTTAAATACATTTATGGAAATTTTTTATTTCCTTTTAAGAATAAAGGAAACTCACACTCAACATTTACCTGTTATAAATACCAAAACTATAAACTGTAACAAATATAGTTATCAGATAAACAATCAGATTAGTAAAACGTTTCATTGCAAAGAAGCAAAAAAGGTTTTTAACGCAAACAGTACACATTCCAAAGAAAAAAAACTAGAACAGATGATCCACATTTCACTTAATAACATGTAACGAAAGCCATTTCATCATTATCGAAAAACGTTTTGGTAGTAAGAACAGAAGAATGATAGATTATTTATTAATTATAGGTTTTTACGTAATCAAGGCGCTAGTTGTAGAATTTCAGTGGTAACAGCGTTTGAACATTTATTTTGTGCTACTTGGGTTTGTTCATGAGGTTTTATTGCACTAAGAAGAATTTGACGACCAATCTCTCGTCCAATTTCATTATTATAATAATCCATGTTTTGTTCTTTTACCGAATTAGAGCCAAATAGTTCATGATTATCGGCAATTTTTTTTGCTTTATCCGAACCAATATGAACTGTCATCAAGCTACTCCAAAAACAATGGCGAAAAGCATCACCTATACCGTTTGCTAGTGTGTCAGCAGGATAAAGTGATTGAGCGGCCTTTTCAGCTAGTTTGGAATCGACAAACGCTAAACCACAAGAAAAAATGCCAACATCTATAACACATTTTGCTTTCTCACTGCTTGTATCTGCATCTAATAAAAAACGAAAGATATTTTAAATAGTATAATAATAAATGTTAGAGATAGAATGTAAAGATCCAGAGATTTATTACACAAATATGTGCAAACTCTTACGACATTGCTGTTTTGAAACGGTGTTTCTCATTCTAAACTTTAATTATCATTATTCGTATTTTCCATGTCAGAGAAAACATTAACGCCACAGTTTGTAACTTGATGATGATGTTTTTTTTATACTACTTACTAGTATATTTTAATGAGATACACACTACAACCAAAACGGACAATGTTTGAAAGGCCATCTTTTTTCACTGTTGATCACTTTGACGTGGCACCATCAAATATGATTTTATATTAATCTATTTAAAGTTAAATTAAATCACAGTTGACATTGAAAAATATTCCCACCACACTAAAAATAAGAATAAAAAACACCTTTTATTGTACCATAAGTACTAATCTCAAGAATCACTGCTTATAATCAACAAACTTTATTGGCCGCCTACTCGAACCCCTATTTCATTTCTCTTTTATCCTGCTAGAAATAGAATTAGGTTTAGGAGCGTATGTATATACGATGATTTTGATTGATAGTCGAAGTAGAAAATATGGGATACTTAAGAAATGAGATTACTACGAAGATAAAAACAACTTTTGCAAAGATATAGTTGAGAGTGGCGTAATTTTACAAAAAGTACCATTGATTATTTGAAAAGTAGATTCTCGAAAATTTGTCGAGAGATTATTCAATTAAAATAAAGAAAAAAATCCTCTGTTTTATGAATTATTTTTAGTTCTACGTCCGCGAAAGTATATGGAAATGAATTTTTTCGACATTTGGTTTAGTAGTTTGTGAAAAACGAAATTTGAACGTAGATAGGCCCCGAGTCGTGTCATAAAAGAAAAACATCTATAAGAATCTAAATATCTAAATTGTGTCATATATACCGTTCGATAGAGATAGATACGCAACAGCTAAGTATCTTATGATTTAAACCTAAAACTTTCTATTAGAAATGGGTGCGAAATAGTAGAAAATCTGAAAAAGTCACGCTAACGCCAAGACGTCCACTAACTATTTGTTCTCTTTCATTTCAAGTAATTTAAATGCTGAGGTAGCTTTTGGTTTTTGATTAGTGATACTTACCTTGTTGTCCGTAGTAATGAAATGGTCCATATTTTTCAGAGCAGAAGAGCTGCAGTCATCGGATCAGAAAAATTTTGTTTGAACTAAATCTAAGGATTTTTCATTAGATTTTAAACGTAATGAGCAATAATTCTCTTAAAATTTTTTTCTTCACTATAATCTTCTTTAAACCATTTCTAATTGTTTCTTTTACAGAACGAATGCAGTGTTGATAGTTATTCTCTTATTCTAGCTTCTCTGATACAACTTTATTCTCAGTTTATTTTTTGTCTAAAGAACAGAACAGAGAAGCTTAGGTATTGGTTTTGATTTGTTTTTTTTGCTTCAAAGTATCATAGTTTTATATGATTATAAACATTCTCAACTTACTTCATTGATCTCAGTTTGTATCAAACTTTGTACCATGAATTATCGTCTAGCACAGGTAATTATTAACGAGATCAAATTCTCTAGGATTTTTATTGAACTTGATTTCATCTGATATTGACTGTTAGAAAATGTTTGATATAAGCTTTAGTTTGTCAGAATACAAGCGGAAAAATAAAATTCGATTATAGTATTCTGAACTAAAACACAAAATCAATTTTTGTACGAATAGAGATTCGAACACATGAACTTTGCTTTGCAGTACACTGTAAAACTAAATCCATTATGTCTATATTCTGTGCAACGATTGAGTAGAAAATGTTTATCCTGTAGAAACATTGCAGATGACTCTACATGTAAAACGTTCGTAATTAGTTATAAGGACATGACACTATAAGTTGGTCTGAGTAGTTTAATAGTAAATCAATTATTTAATGAAAAAAACAATTAAGTGTTTTTTTCATAAATTTGACAGTTTCTTCCCACACGTCTGTGCAGATTAAAATGAAAAAAAGTGCTTCTAACATTTACCATTTTTGTTAATAATATTTTACAAAAATTTATTTAGTTTTTCTCTTAATCTTTATATTTAGAAACAGAAAATCCAATAGATACATACAGAATATATAAGCAAGTAATACATATTTTTGGGAGTGTTAAATTAAATACGCAAGAATTTAGCACAAGTAGGACTTTTTTTATCTCATTATAACGAGAGAGCGAATGCAAAAAAGAATAGAATTCACACCGGGGAAGAGAAAAGAGTTAAATGAAAGCGTGAAAACAAGCAGAAAGCAACTGTGATACAAAAAAAAAGAGCGAAAAGTTATGAACATTGAAAAAAAAAAAACGTATTTCGTTATTTTTTGCCATTAGTCTCCTTTAAGAGTATAATAACACTGATAATACAAAAAAGAACAAGAATAGTGATGATAAGCACAAACATTTCAGGAATTAAACTTCTGACATCAAGAGTTATGGTATTTTGACCATGTGGTTATGAAAAGAAGAGAGAGTCATTCGAACTATACAGGTACACACATACAACATATTGTCTAACAAAGAATTATCATGTTCATTTTTTTTTAACATTGGCTGATTGTGGTTTTTCAACGCCAAAGCCTTGTTGTGGATATTGCGGTGTTGCCATCGGATAAGGTGGTGCAGCTACAGAAAACAATAGCTTTATTAGTACATTAATCTCAGATAGTCAAGTAGTATTTACCTCCTCCCATATTAAAAAATTGATACGGATTATACCCGGGTGGCATTGGAAAAAAAGGTTGCATATATGGATTTGGGTAAGGAAGATTTGCACCATCTAAATAATTTAAATAAACGATTCAAAGTTGAGAATGTCGAATTTACTAATTATATGTACCGGTTATACCTGTGGGTGGTTGTTGTCCGATCGGTGGTGCTGACGGCTGTTGCTGGTGTGGTATAGGCGCTGTAAAAGAATAAATTTGATGAGATAGTTGTTTTACAGTTAAACACGCTTGTATAATGGAACTAAACTACTCTCTAATATCAAGATGCGAAACGCTGTCATTTTTTTCTCTCTAACACCTAGGATGAGCAATCATTTGAGGGAGGGGAAAGATGCCAATCCCAAGCCCAGATAAAAGAGGAGAGTTTATGGTCTAGCAAACCTTGCAGTAAAAACTTCATTGCTACGGAAACAATAAGAAATGCAAAACAGTCTTTTAAAAAATCAATCTGACACACAAGATATCAAATGCAGAAATAAGAAAAGCGTTAAGTTAGTAGTACAGATTATGAAAAAACGGGTGACTGGTCAAATAGATAGAATATCAAAATGACGAACGGTCTAATTTACCTGTCGTAGTTGAATTCGTTGTGCTACTGCCACCACCAACAATATTCTTTTGAATATCTTTCATTAAATCATCTTTTTCCGTCTTACGTGCAAATACAAAATCAGATACTTTATTTTGAAATTTCAATAATAACGGTGTTAAATCGTTGTAAAACTAAGCAAAAAAAAATTAGTGTTATCGAGGTAATAGAACTTAAAAGAGAAAACTAAGCTTTATCCTAAAGATTTACAGAAAACTTACTTTTGTTCCTTCTTTTAAATTGTTCAATAATTCTTGATAGGCATCATAGGCCCGAGCTAAATTTTTTAACATTTCTTCTCGTAATTGTGATGTTTCATTTCCCTGTTTTTCATTTTGAAATTGTTGATTTGCTCGACGAACATTTTCCACTAAGTTTTCTTGTTTCGATAAACTTTCATTTACTTGCTGTTTCAATGGTGCATAAATAGATTCAATTTCATTAACAACGACACTATTTTCATCTTGTTGACCATGTTGAAAAGCAGCTACTAATCGAGCACGAACACTATCAGAATCGGTATTTTTTAATTCTGATTCAATTACTTCACGTGCAGCTTTAGTACCACTAACTTCTTCCATTAGACGACGTAATTCCCGCACAACAAACGAATCTTTTAATGCGCCAGCTGCCGATGCCGACGGTAATTCATCAGCTATTTCATGCTAGAATGAATATAATGACAACATAATTAATTCAGCGAATATAGTTTTACCTTGACAAAGAAAGAATGAATGTTAGGGTAAAAAACTCTTAAGTTCATAGAAAATTAACATACCGTTTGTTTACTTAACAAAACAATGCAATCACGATTCATTCGAAATTTTTCTTGGACAACTTTATCGGCTTTGATAGCATTATCAATAATTTCCAAATATTTTTTAGCTTCTTCACGTAATGGAACAGTTAAACTGTGGGATGTCGTACGTGTCCAACGTTCTTTAAATTGATTTCTTAAATCTGAATCACTACGTTCTTCTTCATCTAACATTCGAACAGTCTAAAATGATCAGACAAACTGATAACGTTAAAAATGATTCAACTGTACGGACTTTCTATCTTACTTCATCAAGTATTTCTTTATTTCTTGTTAATAATTGCGGCAATTCATTAATCATTTTATCTAGCATATTAATTCCGCCTTGTCGTTTGACATCGTTTGATTTCTCGAGTACAGATGCTGGAACTTGTCGACCACCGCTATCTTCAATAGCTGCTGGTAAATTTAATGAAGCCAAGAATCTAAATATCAACAAGGATGTTTTATAGAATAATAAAATCCATCTACTATACATACGAATTAAGAACATTTGTTGCTTCACGTAAACGATTTACTTCTATATTCATTATTTCAACACGTTTTGAACTGAATGTTTGTAAAGCATTATTCAATGCAATTGGTACAAGTGATGCAAATAAATCTAAAAAATATAAATTTTTGTCTCACTTGATAATAAATCAAGTACAAATGCTTAACCTCTAAAATCCGTTGTCAATGGAAATTGGACAGGAAGTGGCTTAGCGATTTGCTGAGCTAGAATTGTATCTAATGTTCGATGATCTGGTATTCTTTCATGATAAACAAAATCATTGTCTTTTCGAGCTGCTGTTAACATTTTGTTTATTTCTTCTTGTGCTGCACGTAACGTAGGATTAAATGCCGGTACTGAACACTTACTAACTGCTTGATCAGCAAATTCTTTTGCCTTCTGGAAAGAAGAAGAAATACAACTATTATAATAAAATCAATATTCTAAATAAAACAGAAATCAAATTTATTCTATTATTTTAACCTCAAGTCTTGCTATTTGTAAACCATATTTTTTATCTGCTTGGGCTTGTTTTGCAGCATGTAATTCGACTTTCGATAAAAATAATAAATTTTTGACCGCCACTACATTAACATAACTCTAAATAGACATTATAAAATGTTGAAATTACACAGTTTAATTAAGGCAATGTTTTTACTTCTGGAATGATTTTTTTTGCACTGTCAGTTTTAGCTGATGTATATGCTTCTTTGTAACAATCAGCAGCATGCATAGCAACTTTGGCGGTAGTTTCATCTGCAAAAAATAGATTGAAGTTAATCTACATACACTTGAAAATATATATTTAGTTGAATGACGAGATTTGCTCGAAAAATTGATGAATACCTCTTTGAGAACTGGATGCTTTCAGATAGATTAATTCTGCTGCTTGTGCTAACATTAACCACGATAGACTAGCCAAGACAGCTGGTTCAAAATCAATTGAACTATCCGATAGTGAATTTGCATTAACATAATCTTTCAAATAGGAATAGATTCCAGCTGCCGACTGACAAGATCTCATAGCTGTTCTCATTCCTTCGTCCATTGATAAACTTTGTGCTGATGCCATTTCACTGTAAGCATGACCAATATTGAACAGAACACAGGCTTTTTCAAATGCTAATTTCCAACTACCTGTAACATACAAAACCGAACAAAATGAATTCTATTTATCAAGAATAAATTTCATTAAAAATAAAAAATTTTACCTGATGTTTTTTGTTTCCCACCAAATAGACCGCCGCCACTCACGAATGCATCTTGCCATTTGAAATAAATACGTATTTGATTTTCTGTTATGGGTAATTTATGTTCAATTGCTGTTATTTGATCATAATACCTTTTAAATAACAAATATAGTTATAGTTGTGGCTAGCTTTCAGTAGCTATGATCGATAAAATGTTAGTAATCACTGGAACAGATATTTTCACAAACAAAGAGAAGAGAGATGAGTACTCAAGTTTTCTGGTGGACTCTCTTGTTTCATTTAAGATCTGGATGGTGGCTGATTAAAAAATAAATTGTTTGGTAAAGTTTAAAATCACTTACCGAAGTAGTTTTCCAGATTCATCTTTGTAATTTGTTCTTAATAATGAGTCGGCACGTAACGAATTTAAACCATCGGCTGATGACGAATAATCTTCTTTATCACCAAATGTAGCTTTTATAAAATTTTTAATTGGTGTTGATATATTAACATCAAACGCTTTTTTAGGTGGTATTGTTAAAAACTGGTGTGTAGACATTATGTTTGATAATAGAGACACTAAATGAAACACATATAAAAGATACTATATTCAAAGAAAACTCTAGCAAAATATAATATTATAATAATTAGTCATATATAGGATAGAAAAGAATGTTCAATAAACTACTGACGGATGATAATAATATCGACGAAGAGAAACAAACACAATGAGTCAAGACACACTTGAACTGTGATAAACCAATAGAAGATAACAATATTTCGTAGAGTTGGATACATTATGCTGATGGAGCATCTGTCACCAATCAGAAATGGGATGAATCATTTTTCTCAAACGGATATCGTCTTCATTCATTCTACTACGCATAGAAAATCAATTAAATTGAAGCAAAATTGAGAATGTCGCGTTCATAAGATGGTGGATAACACGTTACTCATTAAAAATCTTTGTCTTTGTTATTGTAAAAATAAACCTGATATTGTCTGCAAGAGTGTTGCAAACGAAATTGTTTATACCATTACTTCCACTATTTAGATACTATATCAAAAACTGTGGGCACAATTTCACAATCTATGTACGTGTAAGATCTGGGACCAGTTTCTTAAAAAAACTAAAGTGAAAAAATCGTCTGAAGTCAAATTGTGTAGCTAAGTGTGTTTCTCAAACATAACTTAATTCACCTCTCAATCTCACTTAAGTTTTCACTTAAGCTTTTAAGTAGAAAATTGTTTAAATTTTGTAACTTTATTTGAAATCCGTAACCCATCCAGCCCACCATAACTAGACTAAACATAATTTTTCAGAGATTTTGTGCAGAAAATTGCTGTAAAGCAATCTAACTTGTCTAAAATACGAATGGTTTTTACTGCATAATCGCTGTCGTAAGCTTTTTTAAGAAATGTACTTAAGTTAAAAGTTAAGTGCGACTTAAATTTTGACTTAAGTTTCGACCTAAGTTTTTTTTCCCTGCTCTCAACCTGCTTGGTTGAAAATCTTCTGATTTATCCCGTTTTTTCTATTGAACATTCGACAACATCTGAGGACGAGTTAAGACTATTTGAAAAAATATAGAGATACTGTAAGTAATTTTCTTTTATAAGCACAGATCAACTTCGATCAAACACATTTTGTTTCGTAAAGAAAGATTTTTCTAGAAGATTTTTCACTTCATTTAACGTTTGACCTGAATCGTACTCTAAGACTCTTCTAATCAAAACGTTCTGACATAAGAGACATTCGACTCACTAGGTGTTATTATTAACACTGGGTTCTTTTGTAGTTCAAAAATCTGGTAATCAATAAAAGAATTAATTTATTTTGAACAATCATACGCAAGATTGAGTAACCCGGTGTGTGATCAATAACTGAAAAATATTTATATTCTAAAAATCTTTCTTTTTATCTTTTTCAGAAAGTTCTCAGAGCACGTCTAGAAACCTTACAATTTCTCTACAGTTTCGGTAATACAGCTAGTAGTCGTTATCTGTACAGATCTTACAATTTCATCTGCCTCCTCTACTTCAACTTTTTATATATCAACATTCTCATTGTTGTCTACAACAAGAATCACCAATAATCAACAGAGTGGCATTGGACGAATTTAATCGTCAACATCATTACAAAAGCTTTTACATCACAACAATAATGGACATACAGATGGCTGATGTCGATAACAATATAAAAAATACAAAATCACCTTTAGTAATAAAGAGCAGTGGTAGTGATCTTGTTCTATTGCGCCGTGACGACGTAACGGATATATTGAGAGGATGTTTATTTCGTTTGTGAGGGATTGAAACACATTATGTTAACGGAAATAGTGGAAATGAATCAAAGACGCCACTAACACTAGATCGCTATACCAAAGCCTTGGTTGGTCGATTTCTGAAATGTGGCTAGTTATATGAAAAAAATACGAAAAATAATTAAATTCACCGACAACAGGACTAGTATTACAACCACCTCTGGCAAATTATCATCGGAATCACGAGAATATCACCGACTTATCTTTGGCATCGAACAACAGGTATTGAACACTAGAAATGCCCCAACCTAGAATTGTTCTTTTGGTGCATCTATGGAAATAATGCTATTTCTCAAAAAATTTGTTACTAATTGTTTTCAATCAGCAGATTGTAGCCATTATTTTTCTCTATAAAATAAGTTGTTGGGATGTTTTGTGACAGTCTTAAATTTAACATTAGAAACTCTTCTTTATACAAGGGAAATTGACATTGATCGGACTTGATCAATATTATTCCTGTTTCTGCCTTATTAAATAAGAATACAAAGCCCGGTGTATGTCATTTTACACGAAACAATCTGCTGGAGAATTCTACACATTCAAAAAACAATTAAAATAAGCTGCTTAAGAGCTAGATTTTTTATTTTCCAAAAAGAATCGATGCGTGCGTACTTAACATCTGTTTTATTGTCATCGAAGATCTAAAGCATTCCAGCGTTTTCTAATAAAATAATCAGATAAAATTCGATGTAGTAGTAACTCTTTAAATGATTCTTTCAGTTCGTGGTTCTGACTATTACGAATGTAGCTCGTCCTTTCAAGGTTTGTTTGTTTCACTTTAGGTTGGCATTGTACTTGATCCAACAGGTCCTGTCTGATTGAAAAAATTACATATATGGTCATGTACACCGATGCAACGTTTAAAATTCATTGCATCAATTAGTAAACTCTGTCAAGGTATGTTTTCATTGGTACAAAGTTGCAAAGGTTTCCCAGCATACGCTATTTGAAAGAACGAAACGTAGGGTTTTACTGTCACTATTACATACTCATCACCAACATGGTGATCCATTACAACAGTCAACAATTTATCCACGGTTATATAATTGTATCATACCTATACGCGATACGATTATCGAATGAATATGCAATGGGTTAATCAATGATCCATGGCTAGAAAATATGTGTTAATCAATAAGAAGATAGATAATGAAAAATTATGGTATGAAAAGTATCAGGTGATCCAGATATAATGGTTGTTAATTTGTTTTCTGTTCTTCTCCATACAGTCTCAACCTTTTTGAAATTTTTTTTACCAAAAGATGTGCGGCGAAATACTGTACAGAAGTATACTTACCTACCTAAACTTTAATTTCAAAACTTCAATCAAGAAAACTACACAAATTAGGCGAAGGCGAAAAAAAATGAAAACTTTGTAAATTTGGCATCTTTTTCTACTTGACCTTTTTTATTCTGCTATTATTTCCGTAAAAAAGTGTAGCGAAAGTGAGAACTCAGTTTGTTTTGTACTTTCGAATGTACTCTTTCTCGTGGTCTTTAAAAAAAGGTATTTTAGAGCAGACAGTGTGCTCAAGAACGAAGTTTCAAAAATTGACAACTCCTCGTTTCCAACAATATGCTTAAGCAAGAAACGGAAAAGATGATAGAACTTTGGATTTTGCAGTTAGGTAGAGAAGTGCAATCATTCTGATAAAAATAACAAATCCGATCAGAAGATCCTTTGTTTTAATGGAGTTATGGGAGTTTTACTGGAAGCACTACCATACGAAGAATTTAAAAAATTAATGAAAAAATGCGTGACAACCGACAGAAAAATGATTACTTCTCCATGGGTTTTGATGTGAAAAAATTGCAAGTGCAGCTAAAAGATAGAGCGAAGTCAGACTACAAAATGACAATTTTTCTTACTTTCAAACTGTTGAAACAGGAACGTTTAGAAAGTTTTCATTTTTTTCGACTTTCATCTACTTTTTATAGTTTTCTTGATTGAAGTTTTGAAATTAAAGTTTAGGTATGGTTCTGTAAAATATTTCGCGGCTCATATTTTTAGTAAAAAAAATTGCAGAAAGGTTAAGACTGTATGGAGAGAAGAACAGAAAACAAAAAAACCGTCATTATATCTGGACACCGGATATAGTTTACCAACCATACTTTTCATACCATATTACTGAGGTAAGCAGTCATTTTATTGAAGATTAAATTAGGAATAATTTTCTTTTCTCTCTTTTAGACCTGGACATGGAGATAATACACTTACATTCATGAGAATATTTAATCATTTATAGCGAGTGAAACGAATGGAATATACAACATGTGGAGTATGGAAACAACTGATTAAAAATTCAAGACAATTTTCATCTATACCAGGTAAGACACGTTTTCCCGAGTAAAATGCACTACTATTCACTAACAGGCGCAAACTAAAATCTAATACAGTCAATCAGTTGAACTTGTCGAGTTGATTACACTGGTATCGAGTAATACTTAAACTAACAGTCAAAAAAAGATACCATCATCTCTCGTACTTTATACTTTAGTACAAATAAACGCAATTCAACGTTAAGAGTCGAGCTCGTGTCTGTTGTGGTTGTTGGAGGTAGTTAGTGGATATATTTTGACGATTGGTAAACACTAGTATCCATCATCGATGCCAGTATAATCAACTCGACGAACTTGACTATATAAGATTCTAATGTGGGGCTGCCACTGTGTGTTAGTATACTTTATAAAATACCACAGTGTCCAATGATATGGGATATTCTGTAGTACGGGACGGAATGCCGCAACATTTTTCTAAGTAGCAATGGGTGGAATGTGATTTTTTTCAAGTAAGATCTTAGGAGAAGATTCTTTTTTAATTTACTTCGTTTTACTCCATATCAATGAATAGTAGAGGATGAGGATATCTACCTTTCTACTACAAAAACATTTTAATATGTATATAAAAGCAGCTTTTCATGTTTCTGCGCATCGAAAATAAGAAAAATTTAGTTTTTTTGCATACTGAAACAATAGTTGAGAAAAAAATTTTGTGCGCTTCCACGGAATGGGATAAAAGAGATTGCTTATCCACAAAATATCACATTTTTTCACTGTGATAACCCTTAACCTAAAATATTCGTTATCACAGCTAAATCCATTCACTAGTCTTATGCACTTCCAAAAACTATCGTTAGCTTCAGTTTAACGATAGTTTTTATTCTACTCTAGACATAATTGATTTAATGTGTACTTGTTTTGATATATCAAATGAAATGACACGTTTTGTTCAAAAGTGTCAATTATTATATTATGTTTGAAATGTTAGAATATCCATGAAGTGATTTATTATCTAAATTGAAAGATGCCAAATATTTATAACAAATTTTAGAAGCCAATAATGGATTATTAGAAAAAATAATTATACGTTTATTGCTAAATGTTGATGAAAAAAAGACAAGATTTAGCAAAACAATTATGATGTATAGTTTAGTTTGTTTTAATATTAAATTTTGACACGTTAACACAAATATTATTTTTTACTGTCAAAAATGAACTTCAGACAAGATTCAGTTATCAACAACGACAATATAATGATTAATAGAAATAGGATCTATGATTTCCTACTCTAATTCTTCATTTGATAATCTATTTTTTTAATAGGATGGCGAATTGCGAAGATTTCACAATGTGTTTAAACCGACATTAAAAACAATCAAAAATGAATTACAGATATTAAAAAAGACATTTCGAGTATGTTTCTTTTTGCTTGATAATTGAGGGCAATCAAAGATTTGTATATAGAGACAGAAAAATGTGATTGATAAATTAAATAATTATAGAAATTAATACAGTAGCTAATTTTAAATCGTATATTATTAAAACTATTTAGTTCGACATTTCGACAAAAGATTTGTCATTATCGAGAACAATGTGTGTCAATAAAAACATAAGAATAGAGTTGAAACTATGATCTCTTATACATGCGCTTCTATATCTACTAGACTATGTTACACAACAGTCACCATAAAGAAAAATAGAAGTAAAACCAGACAGAAAAAATTGTACAGTTAGGCGGATATACAAAATAAAAATAGAATAAATTTTGTAGACATTGTTCACTAAAAGATATTATATATGTTGCATCTTTAAAACAGAAGATGATGGAAAAGAAGCATTTCGATCATTGGAATGACAAGGATGTCGATGAAATTACATTGCACACTTTATCCTCTGATTAACGTCAAGCTGCTGAAAAATTGAGATTATACGTGGCAGAGCTCCTATTGATCCACCAGGCCCGAGACCAACTCACCTCGAGCCGAACCGTTCGATTTTTTTCTCGGACCAGGTGGACCGTTCCGAAACATTTTTCAGGATGGACGGACCAGCCCGATTCGAGAAATTTTAAAAGTTTTCTCCATATTTTCAGTTAAATTTAGCTATTTTTTATTAAAAGTAGATATTACGATTATTTAGCGAATTTCTGTTATCAAAAAAAATACTTCTATTTTCTTAATTAACTGATATTGCTGCTGAACCAATCGTAGAAAAGCTTTTTCTGCGTTTTTGCTATAATGAAGTTAAATTTAGTCTAAAAAAATTTACAGTAGGGCTCGGACCGAGCCAACCGATTAGCATGATGGGTCGGGCAGGCTTCGACTTTTGTCGGTCTTGATTAGACCGTGCGTGGCCATCAAAAATTGGTCCGATTAGGAGCTCTGATAGGTGGATAGGTTTTGATTGCGTGCAAACGAGAACTGAGCGTTTAATACGCCAGAGTACAGTTTTTGAAAGATGTATGAGCGATCTATCGTTATAATTCGTCTAGATAAAGGTAGAGGTGTGGGTTATTCCTGATAGATCTGATTATAGAATCAATACTCTACTACAGGGTACTATACATTTGTAAGTAAAGACCTAACTATCACGAAACGAGATCAAACTTTTATATTTTCTGTTAACTTTAAAAAAAATAAAACTTTATGCTGAATCAGAATATGTACGTTGTCGTCCTACGAGATCGTGATCAGCCAAACCATATGGACTTCCAAAGACGATATTCCTTTACAATGTATCCTTTCAGCTACAAAAACATTTAACTATGGACTTGCTAAAGTATTAGCTTACGGATTATCATATTTATTTAATAGTCAATACACATGTAAAGATATATTTTATTTTATTGATCAAATTTCAATACTTCTTTCTAACATGACCGATTATAAAAATGGTAATCATTTGACGCGACAATCTTTTTACCAACTTGTCAAGGTTTTTATGACTAATTTAGAGAAATCTATTTACTCAAAGTTAAAAGAAAAGGGGATCAAATATTCTACAAGATACGTTGATGACACATTTCTTTTACTAAAGTCAAACTCCTTATTTGATGAAATTAACACAGTTTCAACTCTTTTCACAATGATATCCGATTTACACATGAAATAGAAACAAATAATTGTTTACCTTTTCTTGACATGACAGTAATAGGCGCACTAATTTAAATTCGAAACTACTGTGTATAGGAAAGAAAACGTTTAATGGACATCGTATGTACCATATAGTTGCAAGAAAAGCTGTGTTAGTAGCATGACTAATCATGACATACGCCTATGCTCTACCTATGAACTGCTAATAACTGAATTAGAGGAAATTAGACATATAACGAAACTGAATCGGTACCCACGCATATTCGTAGATATACTAATAGAAGTTCTTGTTACGTTATTCTCTAATCTGAACAACTCTAACTTGATCGATCATGTTAAGAATAAGTCATCTGAAAAACGACTAACAGTAGACGTATCATTTGTACAGAATTTATTAAAAATATTTAGTAAAAAATTACAATATTTAACAAAAACATTGAAACTACAGCTTGATTTGAGAATAATTTTTACGATTATCTAAAACATTTGGTTCCTTTTTCCAGCAATAAAATAAAATAAGTTTTGCAATTCATTACAATCAAATTTACAGTTAACTGTAACTGTTAATATACCTATTCAGTCTATTTTGTCTACTTTCATTTATATGTGTGTGTATATATATTAACACCGTTTGTTTTCACTATATTGTACAGTTATTTTTTCTAAAAGTGAATAGAATTAGCATTCATTTGAGTTGTTATAATTTTTTTGTTATAACAATTCAATGAAGTAAATCTTAATAATTATTATTTTTATTGAAACTTTCCATTTTTTTTCTCTTGCAAGGTGATCATTTTTACGTTTTACATAAATAGTAAATTAAATATATTGAAAATGATGATAATGCATCATGACATATTCAAACAGAAAAAGGACACTATTTACATAATTAGAAGAGGCTAGACAATTAAATAAGAATTGAACATGTTACTATTTTAGATTTAATTTTTCATATCTCGTACAGTTTCAATTCTTTTGTATATCTCTAATGAGATGACAATTGATTCTAATGACGATTTTGGTATAGTTGGCATTAGTGTAGTTATTGTACTAATAGTATTAATGGTGTTGATGATCATGCGATTAACTGTTGGTTCATGTTTTCAACGTGATTCAAAAAGTCATGAATAAAAATGTATAAATAAGTTTAATGGTAACGTCTTCCTCCGTCTTATTAAATATTAGAACAATGTCGATTCAAATTTCTCAGATGAAAATTTTTGGTTTTGTACTTTTTTTTTTTATACCATTTGTGGTACGTACGAAGCATGTACTATTTTTCTATGAACCTGATACGTACCATCGAAATTCGGTACGGTATGAAAAATTTTGATACATGATTTGTTTTTATAGTTCCGTATTGTACATATTTTTATTTTTTGCCTAACTTGTGTTTAACTCTTGTTGTTAACTATTATTTTTATCTTTATATAAAAAAACAGACAAAAAACAAAACAAAAAGTAAAAATAATTGTAAAAAATAGTTCATTATAAAATTATCTGGTCTTTAACAACAATGAAGAAAAAGATATAATAAAAATATATAAATATTTATCCAATCTAGAAGGATATGTACAAAAGTAGTTTATTTACAATCAGAGTATATAGTAATATAATCATGGTAAATATCCTAGTGTTTGAGAACGTTGCTAGTACAATAATTAAAAAAGAGCATCATTTACGCTCGATCAAATTAATTTAATTAGCAGAAAAAATTGGAGTAGAGAATTAGATCATGTTATTGATTAGAAATCATCAAAATTTTTCTGGTAATTATTGATACCGGACATCTATCTCATTCTCTGATCGTCGTTTTCTCCATTTTAATTAATCACGAAAATAATTCGAAGTAATGAATATGAATAAAACAGAATGAAAACATATTAAAAATTTGAAACGATTTATATTAGTTTCCTGAGTAAAACTGACCAGAATTATTGATAAAATTGAGCAAACTAGCTTAAAATATAAGCATCTTTATACTATTTAAATGTTTGTAAACAGCTAAACTACAAAATTGTCTCGGGTTTATAAGATGAACTAGTATCGCTCGACTCTGATGTTAACAATTGTATCTTTTGATCTTCTTCTTTATTTCTGGAAATACTTAATCCACTACTACCTCCACCGTTTACAACTCGTGTAGCTGCATTAACTATTGGTTTTCCTCTTTTTATCGTTCTAATGGTAAATGTAAGTATTGTTATTCCAATACAACATACAAGAAATCCGGTTAAAAAACCCAATATCATTTTCAAATTACTTTTATCTGTTGAACACACTATTGTTCTCGATTTTATTATTTCAGTTTTATTAATCGAATCATTTGTATTATCTTGATCAATAAATATTGTTGTTAATAGGGGCGTTGTTGTGTGATTAACATGAATTTCAATTGCATTTTCTTCTTCTACAAGTGGCGGTTTCAAATTTTTAACATGAACAATATTCATTCTTAATGGTAATATTGATTGTTGTGGTGATACAAGTGCAAGAGAAATATTTAAACATCCCGTTGTTTCATTTAATAAACAAATGTGTAATAATGGTCTTAGAACGTCTGTATAAAATAAATAATTATCATTAACACATATATCATCATAGCCCAATGTTGAACGTGGACCATTTTTATCTGTTAATAATACTCGTCTATCATAATTTGTTTGTTCATTTAAATAGATTATTAATATTTTCTCTTCTAAACTTAAATACATTAATTTTTTTTTAAAATCAATTGTTGCACTACATGAATATGGTCGATTATCATAAGATGATGGTACCTTATATAAAAATGAACATTCATTTATGGTTAATGAACAACGAATAATTGTACACCATCCATACGAATCACCAACGATATAACCATCTGATTTAATTTGATCAATAATTAAATCTGTTATTCGTAAATTTGGACTTAATTCTCTTAGACGTTTCATAAATGGTGTTGAACCTTTTGAACGTTTTTCTAGAAGATCAATTATTTGAATATCTCGATGACCATAGACATATAATAATGAAGATATATAATTAATATTTAGAAATAATGGCATTTCACTACGTATAGAATTAATTTGATGATTTAGAGAACTATTTGTTCTCCACCAACCGTCAACATATTGTAAACGATATACAGTACGTTCTTAAAGTAAAAAATAAAAAATATATTAAAAATAAAAAATAAAACTAATATATTACTATGGGAAACACTTACCATGTGGTGCTGTTAAATAAATATTGCCTGAATCATCACCAATTATATCATGAAAACGAGGTACATCATCTTGTGTTAATAGTAAATGAAATGAATCATCTCCTCCAAATAATGCTGGCCACCAAACATAAATTCCTGTTAATGATGTTAGAACTAAAACAGATGATGATAATTGTTTTTGAATCTGTTCTTCACTATGATAATCTTCATTTTCATCTATCGATTGTTGTAATGATGATTCTACATGATTATGATAGAAAGACGATAGTTTATGTTTTTCATCTAAAATTTTTGACGCTGATAATGATGGTTTAACACGTTCACGTGTTAAATATGTATTATTTTTTAAAATAGATAATCGATTTGATACAGCATTTGTATTAAATATTATTATAGTTAAAAATAGAAATAATCGAAATTGAAATGTTTTTAAATTTATAAATAAACATAATTCATTATGATGACAATATTCATTGTTTGTAGTCTGTGCGAATGTCGCTGTCATTTGGTTGGAACTTTTAAATTCAAATAAAGCATCGTTTTACACTACTTTCCATTGATAAATAAATATATTTTATAATTTTGACCAACTAAAAAGAAAATAGAAAAAAAGATCATCTGATAAACGATTATTGATCGAACAATAATCATTCTATTCTAAATGTCATTTGAAAAATCTGCTTCGAAAGATACATTATAAAAAATAATATATCATAAATAAGAACACAAGAAATAATACATAAAATGGATATATTTTCTTGGCACATTCGAGGACAGATTGAAACTGTCATGCTATAAGGCACATTATGTGTCTTAGAATGTGCCCAAAAAAATGTGTCCATGTATTCCATGTAGTTTTTTCATATGTTCTGTTTGAGAACACATTTCCAGGTGGTATTTCAGAGAATACATTTCAAATGTATTTAAAATGTCTCCCTATGACACACATGAAAAAAGTTTCTTTGTCAGTTTTGATGCTTAGATTATTCACTTTTCTTCTTTATGATTTAAGTATTTACTCTAGTACAGTAAGACCTTTGGCGATTCTTTGGTAATTAGGATTTAGTCTCAGTGAATAGGTACCACCCAACATTAAGTCTCGGTTGAGTGATTACATGACACGGAAAAGGCCTTGTCACAGTTGCAGTTAATTCGAAACTACAACAAGACTACTAACCCATCGAAGTTCACAGTTCAACAGGTTAGTGAGAAAAGGGACAAAATTTGATTCGAAAATGAATGTTATTTATAGCCTTGCTTTATTTAGCAAAACAAAAATAAGTGAATGAAAATCATGTGCACCACATTGAAACATATCAAATGTATTATTTGGTTTAAGAGTCTCAAATAGCGGCACATGACTTATATTGATACATTAAAAAGTGTCATCGTAGAAGACATTTGTAGATATGTTCTGATATAGGACACTTCTCTTTGCTGGACACTTTTAAGCGTCTTTGAATGAGATATATTTTGCCTAGGACACCTTTTTTTTTATATAATGCACGTCAATTTCAAGTTTTAGCCTCATTGGATATTGGATTGGAACATCAGCAGAACAGGATGAGACAGATAATCATCTTGTAAAAGTTCAAAAAAGGTTTTCAGTTCATTCAGTTCTATTTTTTAATTCTATTATCCTCTAAATAATCAGATGATTTCACATTGTGCCTAGAGAAACTAGGTGTTTGTTTAGATAAGAGAACAAGAAACCGAAAATATTGTGTATTTCCTCTGAATTTGTGATATGACTCTTTACCTACACTAAATTTTCCTTTTCAGAAGTTGTGGCCTGATGAAAAATTGATTGCACTATGTTCTTGAAGAAAAATTTGAGTAAAACATGATGAAATCAATTCTGAAAAACGAGTTATAGTCTTTACGAGTTTAAGTAGAAATTCTTCAAATATACCATTGAAGTATGCGCATATCTAAAGCGTTTTGCATGACTAAGAATCTCATGCCAATGGAGACAAATCTTGATTTGATTTACAACAATTCAATGTATTGAAGACAAAGTTGAGTTCTCTTTTACACTATTCCACATTTTTCTCTTTGGACAAAATTACTTGTCATAGATCGAAATTTTTTTAAACTTATCGAAAACCCAACGAACTACATTTGATTTTTGTAACACACTTTCTTACATTTTAAACTAATCTTTTTATAAAATTTCAAAAATGTTGAAGAATTTCTGTTCTTTAGCTCTACATCCGAATCAGTGAGTAGACGAATTAGATTATCAATGTGTATGTGGTTAATTAAAACAAGAAAAGAGATTTCTTTTAAAGGTCTGCTTTTTTGTAAAATAATAGTAAAAATGCACGTAATGGCCTTCAATAAAATCAGCTCATGTTCATTATCTCAGTACCTTGACCACAGATAAAACGGAATAACTCAATTTCAGTGGTCATTATACTAGAAAGCTAAGAATTACAATTTGAAAAAAGACAATTATCATATACTTTTTTATTATTTAAAGAATTGAAAAAAAACGGAGTAATTAATTAGTTTAAGCATCTCGATATGTGTGCACACTCTGAACAGCTCTGATACTAGCTAAATGAACACTAGTTATAAATATTTAATTGTAGTAAAAGAGATGTTTGTGAGATTCGTAGCACGAAAAATGCCTATTTATGTACTAAACATTAGTCTTTCTCTCAATGTCGAATCGTTCTCTGTTTTATGCAAATAACTTTTTGTAAATCCTTTTTCATATGTGTGTGTATGTTGGGATATTAATCTTTTACTCGATTGAAAAATTATTAATTAACAAATCAGATATTACAAAGAAAAGTGAGTATCTTACATTTAATGATTTAATTTCTTAAGTCACCCCTCTCATTTATATCATAATTGTTTTAAACTGATCTCACTACTCTGATCTATATATAACAACAGTACAATTATTATTTAGGAAAATGATAAAAATTTACTAATTTTATCAAATAAAGAAAATCTTTTATTTTTCATCTTTTAATTGTTATTATATCTATTGTGTTAATATAAACGATGAGTTTTATTCAACTGTCTATCATTCAACTATTTAGATATACTCTTAGATATCCTACGCACGCTTTAGGTAGTAGATATTAATATTATTATAATAATACAAAACAACAAAAAAAAGAAAGAAAAAAAAAATGATAAACATGTTTCCTTATGTGATGTGTATAAGAAAAAAAAGAGGAGGAAACGGGAGAAAAGAGAAACCATACACATTTTAAGATAAGATACATAAGATCCTACATACAATAATAGTGTTGTAACGTTTACTATACACAGTATATTGATATCAGATAGCTAATTTTCATTTGTTTCTCTTTCTTTTTTTTTTCTTTGTGCTTTAGCGTGTAATATGATGTAATCGCGTGGTGTTCTAAATTGAACAACAATTACACCAATTTTATTTGCTTATGACCAATTTTAAAAAAAAACTATTACATCATATCAGACATCATCACAACAATTCAACTAACTGATATTTTTGAGTTATTGTACTCAATTGTCTATCATTTTACTTTCATATTTTTGTCAATTTATTTTATAAAAGATTTTTTGTTTTTTTTTGTTTTTGTTACGGTATCTCTCGTTTGAGATAATCGTATAAATACACAGAGTATTTAGTAATACAAATAATGTCAAGGTTTTGAGATTGATAAATGACATGTAGAACTTGATTTTTGGTAAGTATAAATTATAGTAGACATGACAGCTTGAGTCACTTGACAAGAAAAAAAAATAAAAATAAAAATAAACATCGAACATTTTCTAAACTGTTTTTATCGTTATGAGCAAAACAATCCTTTAAAATCGGAGACAATGATGAATAGACCCTTGATGTCGAGATTTGAATAACATAAATTAGATATAAACTCTATAATATCGTTTTTTATACGTTCTTTTGATGCTAGACATTCCAAGGACAATTTGATTATTCTTAATACTTTTATATGTATACAGTTTTTTTTTTATTCAATGATAATAAATAGATTTTTAATATTGTAAAAAATAAAATAAAAAATGATAAAGTCTTACCAAAACATTTTCTTTTAGGAAAATAATCGTCTTTTTTCTACAAATATTTATTCAATTATTAAAA